TATTTGAGGCGTTTCCTGGACCTCCCTGACGTTGACTCAACTTCAAGTGCGTACATCAGCATAGTGGAGACGAAGGCATTTGGACGTGGTGTTGGCTACGCTGACCTGCCGTACAGGCCATCATCGGTGCCGCTTGCTTGCAGCTCTTGCCGCAACAGTCTGTTAAAGGCTACGCGGGATGTACATATACACAGATTGTACGTGTCAATACGCACGCACATATGACGCTACATGTACGCACGTGGAAGTATATGTCGATGATACTCAATGTGTCACCATATTGGTATATCGATCAGCATATTCAGTTTAAGAGTCCTGTTGAGTGCACACGTGAGAATTTAACGCCAATTACCATATCTGCCTGAATGTGCCCTATCTTATCAGATTTCGGAAGCTAAGCATGGTTGAGACTGGATAGTGCTTGGATGGGCGACAACCTTGCATACCAGTCATTATAGGCTGTGGATGCTTTGTTGTGGGCAGCAGAGCACTGTACTTCTAAGCCTTCACATCTATTACCTGCCTGCCTTCAACTCAAATTGACTAGCAAGGTGAAGTATGTCCAAAAGCAACCTCCATGACCACCTGCACGGTGCGGCAAGGCCCTTTATCCAGCTGTCCATTGACAAAGGGCCATGCTACTTCTACTACGTTCGATATAATGGTCAACCTAAACATTAATATTTCAAGGTCTTACACATTGCACGGTGGAGCACAGCTCGTTTTGCCAAGCAGAAAAGCCATCCCCGTTCGGGAATTACCCCCATGCCTCGGCATCCACCCACGCTCGGAGCACCGCGCAGCAAGCACTTTGTTACTCATTCGTTTTTTTTCTCGAATGAGTGATAACATTTCAGCCATTGATAGCGCTGATATTGGAAATACCACGGCGCGAGACGGAACGACAAAATAATGCGAATTTAGTCACGCGGCGTATCTATCACGAGTTGTAGGCGGTGGCGGCGGGGGGCGCGGCACGTTGCTTCCTGAAAACTCATGCCGCGTTACGGCACACGAGCGTGGCTCTCGATGCTCTTCCCCCCCACCCACCCCCCAAAAAAAAATTGGGGCGGTTTTTTTTTGTACTGATCATGGCTTCGTGGCATCATCTCCTCACATCCATCTATCTCAGCCCCCCACGCCCTTGAAATACTCGTGCTGCCCTTCCATCCGTCCGTCCGTTCGTCCGTCCGTGCCGCTGCTGCACGTCGATCTGTATTCGCACCGCTCTCCAATCCGGTGATCCCGCACCTTCGATGAGCACGGTTGGCGACTAATGGTGCGAAAGAAGTTCAACACACGCGCGTGCATATGCGTCCCGCTATTTAAACAGCCTCCCTCGCCACGCTCACTCCTCCTCCAGCTCCGCTCGATCCATCGACGTGTTCTTCGTCAATTTTGTTTTGCTGAATAGACTAAGTGGCCCGACACGATGCGTCGACATGGTTGTGCGGCCGATTTGAGCCAAAGTGAGGCCGAAATGATTCCGAAGCGGCGAGAACCTCGGAACGCGCACATTGTGCGGTTGGCGTGTACGCACTATGCGGTGATGGGGAAATTGTTCACATTGGCTCGAGAGGAGATCAAGGTCAACGCAGCGATGGTGCTTATTTGAAAGGATTGTTTCGATCATTGTATAATTGTCTCCTGCAGGGTCCATACATTTGTGTTCCAATGGATGAAATGTATTTTGATCAATTGTATATGCAGTCGGCACACTGCGGGGCCTGTAGCATAGTAAAGTAATTTTATTTTTTTTATTTGCAATACAGCCAGGTAATACGACAAAATCGCTAACCTTAAACACCCAGTCGTTCATAAAAGTTGAAGGCAGTATAGTACTATAGTAATAGAGCAAGTGCTGAATCACTGAACCAGAATTGATAGTCTTTGGTTCTTTCGGTAAAGTGACGTAGAAAAATAATAATAGATCACGACGTTTCGATCGCCACACACGCGATCGCTTGAGTGGCGATCGAAAGGTCGTGATCTATTGTTATTTTTGTACGTGACTTTACCGAAAGAACCAAAGACTATGCATCCCTGCAGTCACGAAGGCTTCAAATCAAGACAGAATTGATAGCTTGAAAGCATTTAGCGTGGGGCCCTTGAAAGTGCAGGGCCCGTAGCGACTACACATGTAGCTACTACACATGTAGCTACTACACATGTAGCTACTACACATGTAGCTACTACACATGTAGCTACTACACATGTAGCTACTACACATGTAGCTACTACACATGTAGCTACTACACATGTAGCTACTACACATGTAGCTACTACACATGTAGCTACTACACATGTAGCTACTACACATGTAGCTACTACACATGTAGCTACTACACATGTAGCTACTACACATGTAGCTACGATAATCCGGCACTGGGTCGGCATTGGGTACACCAAAGTGAGTCGATCGTGAGGCCACGTGTGGGTCAATTTTGGGCACCCCCCCCCCACTTGTCCCGAGACACCTGGACTGGGTGGAAGAGGGGCTCTCTCGAGCTCCATCTAGCGGGAATTTTCTTCTGCCAGCAGTTTCATTTATTTATTTGCATTTATTTGGTATAGCCCTGTGAGCCGTTCGACTCTTGAATCAGGTGCAACCGCAACAAACAAAAAACATGAACAAGAAAACATCTTAAAGTGACTGTGTGACTGTGCAAACAGAAAATCCAGGAAAAAAACATCAAAATATTCCTGAAATAGCACCGTACACCAACGCTGTGTGCAAAAATCCCAGTAGGGATGCAAGTCAAACAACAACTACAAGACAGCTTAGATTTTGGCCCTCAGTTTAACTCCGTACTACAACAAACAAACATGGCCAAACCAAAAAAACTTTTCGAAATCACCAAAATAAAGCCATAAAAGCAATATAACAGTGATTATAGGAACTGTGACCGAATTTTCACAACAAACGAGGAAGGGATTTCAGGGCTGTACCTTTTACCTTCACCACCTAGATATGTCTTAAGTGTTGATGATGTATTTAAATGCTACAAGTTAATTTGAATAATCTAAAACCATTTTGTCATGAGCTTTTTTAGTAACATCAATTTTGCATGGCATGCCTCTGTTTTACTCCGACACAACTTTTTTGGTGAATTTCATTGTAATCTCCTTTCTTTAATGACATCAAAGTGCCACAAAAAGACCTGTGATGAATGTTTTATGTGTGGCTGATTACATTATTCCTCTTAAAGCATTTTTTATTTCTTCACTGAGATTGTAACTTGTCTTTCCTGATACCCATTGGCTTTCAAATAAGCGTTCGTGTCAATGGCAGGACGTTGTGTGATAGCAGTTCCGCACATCTCCCTCTGATCCTGAACATGAAATACGATACAAACGGTGCTGCTTTCTAACCACAGCCACATCTAATAATAATACATATGCCTGAGTGGATAAATGAACAGCCCATTGATCAGGACAGTCGAGTAATAGCTGTGTTTGTCTCATCTGGACTGCATTATCAGCTATGGTCTGGCTATTAATTCCTGGAACATTATTTACAAACCGAGGCTGGTTTTGTTCAATTGTCATGACCCAATTCGATTGTAATATTTGGCGTGGTGCTCTGTGACGTCACTGCCGTTGGACGCTCGGATTGGCCCAATGAGGGTACGTATGTGTGTCACGTACGTTTGCCCTTTGAACTTCTTTCACACCGCATGTCGCCAACCGTGCTCATGGGAGGTAGGGCACCGAGAAGTGAAAAGCGCATTCCAGAAAGCGTGAACGGGAAAAGGGCGTAGAGACGATCTCATTAAAATTCGCATTCACTCCAATGATTGCAAACATTAAACAACAAAAAAACGAAATTAGACGGCAGAATTGTTTTTACTCAACTCAACTCAAATACACATTGATGACTTCTTTCATTTTCTTTTGGTTCTTTCGGTAAAGTCACGTAGAATGAGAATAAAATAATAAATTGATAAAATAAAATAACACAATAAAATTCTCACGACGTTTCGGCCACAACACAAGCGGCCTTCATCAGGTGAAGGGACGAGACTCGTCCTCATTCTACATGACTTTACCGAAAGAACCAAAGAAGATGAATCCTTGCAGTCACGAAAGCTTTAAATCGAGACTTCTTTCATTATTTATGTAAGCATTCTTGTAATGAAAAGTGGTCCCCCGCCAGCAGGCTGCTCTGGTTGATCCACCCTGCTGTTCACCCAGGCAACGGCGGTGCTGAATGCTGTCTGGGGGGGGGGGGAGGGTCACGGTCCTTGTGAACATCGTGAGTTTGGATAACGTCTCAAGTGAAATCTTGGAAATCACTGCAGAAGCAAATTAGATTAGGCACTTCCCTTATTTTCTTTCAAACATGCCGTGCATCATGGTGCCGAAAATACAAATCTGTTGTTCATGGCACACCACGTTGGGTGCGGGCTGGAAGGGGTCATATGGCTGTCCCATGGAAACCATGCACTCTACAATTTGATTATTTTTAAATGTAGAAATATGGCAACTTATTTTGTAAAAATGTCCCCCTCCTCACCCCCAGTTCTCCCTCCCTCCTTCCCCTCTTCTGCCCTGTCCCATGTGGGTTTTGTTGTCCCATCCGTTGTCCTTCTCCCGACCCTTTTCCCACTCCCCATATCAACTTTTTTATGCCCTCGCTTGTGGTCCCCAAATCTGGGTGGTGGGGCAGTGAGCCCAATTCTCCCCCTTCACGAAGCCCCGCAGCGCCCAACCTCGGGCGTTCGTTCGCCCTGTGATAGCCGCTTTGTGCCGAGTTCGTGTTGAGTTGTAATTATAAAAAAAAAATGATTGAAACAAAAAAGCGAGCAAATTTGTTGGTGGTGCACCTCATTCCTTGACCTTTACTTTAATGATCGTACTTTTTTTTTTTAAACTTCTTGCACCTTGTCCGCCCATTATTTTTTTTTCCCTTTTAACCAAAAAGATATTAAATACAAAAAATTTACCACGCCAAAGCCGCAGCCTCGCCGACGCCCCGCATTGCAAACCGGTGTGCCCAGGTGCAAGACGAAGGCGTACGCGGACGGGCTGCCCGCCACCACGGTGGTCATCGTGTTCCACAACGAGGCGTGGAGCACGCTGCTGCGCACGCTGCACAGCGTGATCGGCCGCTCCCCGCGACACCTCCTCAAGGAGATCGTGCTGGTGGATGACGCCAGCGAGAGAGGTGGGCTGGGCCCCCGATGCCCCCACCACCCCCCCCCACCACCTCCACACACACCCCCCCCACTCCCTAAACCCCCCCCCAACCCCCCCCCCATTAGCATGGTCGGCTACGTACGGTGCAAAATATGTTATACATACATAAGTACGTACGCAAAAGCTTGCTCAAACCCACAATTGGAGGGTTCCGAGTTCGTACGCTGGTCAGCGAGCGGTTGACTCTGCAAAAGGCTTCTCTGTCGTGTCGGTTACCCTCACGCGGGTACTAACTGTGCGAGAGCAACATTGCTCCACAGTGAATAAACAATGCCTGCCGCTTCGCGGGCAGTCGACAAACAGCGGTCGTGCGCGGGGAGAATATGGTCCCTGCCAGCGTCCTATCTTCGTCGGCCGTGTTCTATCCAGTGCTAGATGAACCCCCTCTCCAGATCATGAGTGGGCAGAGGTTATCATCTCACGTTCCTCCACTGTCACAGTCCACGTGCCCACGAGCTAATCTTTTTACTCCGTCGCCACGGTGGAGGTCTCCTTTGGGCATTACCGTTCTTTTGGCTTCCTTTCTATCACCAGTCACGCGTAATAGCGATGTGTTCTGCTAGAAGCCGACACACTTTTCCCGAGGAGTCGGTGTGTTGTCTCTAGTTTGAGTCTGTTCCATTATCCACGTGTAGCTTTTTGTCTCTCAGTGCAATACCCAGCATGCATCTCTACATGCTACTTTGTGCGCTTTTCAGCTTTTGCTCCCATGTACTTTGTCAGAGTTCCATGTTTCGAGTCCATAAGCACTAGTAAGTGCTTTTGCTTCGGTTGCTTTTCATGATCATACTTTTTGTTTTAGAAAGATGTTTCTAGTGTACACCCCTAGCTGCCACTGCTATTCATTGGCGTAAAATAAAATGAAATGTTTTCGCTCTGGATGACGCTGCAAAGTATTATCTGTATTTTGATTTAGCGTGCTGATCTTAAAGGTGCATTGAAAATTTTGATACTCCGACTGATGCTTCTGTTGTTGTGGAGTAACTCATGCAGCCAGCTATGGCTCTAGGATTTGGTGTTACATGTTATTTATGTAGTTTATTGTAAAAATTCGGTCGCAGTCCCTGTGATCACTGTGGCGTTGCAATTATGGCTTTATTTTTTGGTGATTTCGAAAACGTTTTTTGGTTTGGACATGTTTGTTATGTTGTAGTGGCCTTAATCTAAGTTTTCTTGTGGTTGTTGTTGTTTGACTTGCATCCCACTGGGATTTTTTGCACACAGCGTTGGTGTACGGTGCTTTTTTCAGGAATATTTTGCTGGTTTTTTTCCATGGATTTTCTGTTTGCACAGTCACATAGTCACTTTAAGATGTTTTTCTTGTTCGTGTTTTTGGTTTTTTGTTTGTTGTGGTTGCACCCGATTCAAGAGCCGAATGGCTCACAGGGCTATACCAAAATAAATAAGCTGAAAAATGAAATTGAATAGACTCACTGAGTGTGTAGCCCATTTCCTGGCTGTTTTTCACAAGTATATTTTCTTCCCTGTGTTTTGCTACGAACAGTGTAATGGAATAGTGCCCAAGAAGTGGCGAGCTGAAGAAAACATGGGGCAACTTTTTCTGAAACCACAAAATGCTTTTTTTACACTTTTACATGCACGCAGCCTAGCCCAAGAAACTCTTATCGTTACAAAATCCACGTAAAAAAATGGATATATGCGAAGAGTTATTAAAATATAAAATAAAACATTATTTACATAGAACTCCTGTAACATAATTGGGGAAATAATGAGCAAATGGGGGACACTCAACACAAACATGATTTTAGATCTGATAACAAGGAATGGGATCATGAACGCACAAAGAAGGTACATTGATGATTCCTCTAGTATAAATACAGATTCTGATTTTGATTCTGAACTATAGACTCCGCCTGCTCGACCTGTATGGGATAGAACGTCGACCCCCAAGCACGCATGGCTTTTCACCGGGAGCTCCGGTTTCCTCCCGCTTATCATCCATCGATTGGCCAATAACACCTCAGGACATAGAGGACCACAGGAGTTGGGGAAGGACTGGGGGGAATTTTCCATCGGCTCATCGCCTGGTTGTGACCTTTCCACTGTCTCTGGTTCCTCCTTGCACCCTCTAAGCCACTCTCTTCTGTCTCTCGGCGAGAGTGAGCGGCTACTGTGCACGGTACAAGTTGATTATTATTAATTCATAAATTGTGGCCCGAAGAGACTAGGATTGAACCATAGAAGTGCTTGAGAGAGAGAGAGTCGTAGAAAATGTTAAGGAATTCTCTGCAGCTCTTTAGAGCAAAACAAATCATATACCCAAGGAAATTAATATTTTTTGGTTGAGTAGGCGGAGGATGTTTCCAATGTCACATCTGAAGACATAATCACCGCCTGTCACAGTTTGAAAATGAAAAGTCAGAAAGATGAAAAGCCTTAGAACCAGATGGAGTAATTGTGGATAGTATCAATGAAGTGGGAATTTTGAAACAGATGCCATCCAGACATGCACCTTACGTCCTTCCTTGTGGAAGAGATATGTGGATGACACTTTCGTCATTTGGCCACATGGCCTACCAGCATTGAACCAATTTCTCAACCACATTAATTCCATACACCCATCCATCAAATTCACCATGGAAGTGGAGAAGGATGGTAAGCTACCATTCCTGGATGTTTTGTTTGAGAAGAGACCTGATGGCTCTTTGGGACACTCTGTCTACAGGAAAGCCACCCACACAGATTCCTATCTGAAACCTGATTCCCACCACCATCCGACACAGAAGAATTCCCTCATCAAAACACGACACCATAGGGCCCACTGCATTTCTGACCAACACCACCTAGCCAGTAAACTGGAGCACGTACACCAGGCCGTTAAGATGAATGGATATTTGGACCGCATTATCCGCAAGGTTGTTTCTCCAATCTACGTCACAAAGTGCCCTGAGCTCTATAGGCGCTCTAAGAACGTAAAAAAGGAAAGAGGGTTGATTATTTAGAAACCGATATAGTCATCAACGGGCTCTCACAAACCAGGACTTAAATAAAATAATGTATGGAGGTGATCGACACCCTTGACGAGGGAGCGTTGTCCCCACGATATGGTTGTTTAATTTACTCCGCTGCCTCAGGACCACCGATGTAGATGCACACAATCCCAATGCTTGTTTTGAGTAGGTCTTTGCTTTGTTTTTATTTTACTAGATCCAAAAGTAAGTAAGTACATTCATAAAGGCACAGCTCTTATAGCCTAGGTTATCACGAGTGCACAAAATCAATACATTGTTATCTCTATTGAACACTTCTATCTTTTACTACTGAACTGGTAAATTATCGGTGAAGAGTCTCAAACATCACACAGCGGCAGTGAGTTCCAGGCCGATGGACCGCTGAGTAGGTGAGTGGGTGGGTGAGTAGGTGAGTGAGCGGGTAGGTTTAGTTCCAGGCTGGTGGACTACTGAGTAGGTGAGTGGGTGCGTGAGTAGGTGAGTGAGCGGGTAGGTTTAGTTCCAGGCTGGTGGACTACTGAGTAGGTGAGTGGGTGCGTGAGTAGGTGAGTGAGCGGGTGGTGAGTTCCAGGTCGATGGACCGGTGAGTAGGTGAGTGGGTGCATGAGTAGGTGAGTGAGCGGGTAGGTTTAGTTCCAGGCTGGAGGACTGCTGAGTAGATGAGTAGGTGAGTGAGTGGGTGGTGAGTTCCAGGCTGATGGACAACTGAGTAGGTTAGTGGGTGGGTGAGTAGGTGAGTGAGTGGGTGGTGAGTTACAGGCCGATGGACTACTGAGTAGGCTAGTGGGTGGGTGAGTAGGTGAGTGAGTGGGTGGTGAGTTACAGGCCGATGGACTACTGAGTAGGCTAGTGGGTGGGTGAGTAGGTGAGTGAGTGGGTGGTGAGTTACAGGCCGATGGACTACTGAGTAGGCTAGTGGGTGGGTGAGTAGGTGAGTGAGTGGGTGGTGAGTTCCAGGCCGATGGACTACTGAGTAGATTAGTGGGTGGGTGGGTGAGTAGGTGAGTGTTTGGGTGGTGAGTTTCAGGCTGATGGACTACTGAGTAGGTGAGTGGGTGCGTGAGTAGGTGAGTGAGTGGGTAGGTGAGTTCGAGGCTGATGGACTACTGAGTAGGTTAGTGGGTGGGTGGGTGAGTAGGTGAGTGAGTGGGTGGTGAGTTCCAGGCCGATGGACTACTGAGTAGGTTAGTGGGTGGGTGGGTGGGTGAGTAGGTGAGTGAGTGGGTGGTGAGTTTCAGGCTGATGGACTACTGAGTAGGTTAGTGGGTGGATGTGTAGGTGAGTGAGTGGGTGGTGAGTTACAGGCCGATGGACTACTGAGTAGGTTAGTGGGTGGGTGAGTAGGTGAGTGAGTGGGTGGTGAGTTCGAGGCTGATGGACTACTGAGTAGGTTAGTGGGTGGGTGAGTAGGTGAGTGAGTGGGTAGGTGAGTTCGAGGCTGATGGACTACTGAGTAGGTGAGTGGGTGGGTGAGTAGGTGAGTGAGTGGGTGGTGAGTTCCAGGCCGATGGATTACTGAGTAGGTTAATGGGTGGGTGAGTAGGTGAGTGAGTGGGTGGTGAGTTCCAGGCCGATGGATTACTGAGTAGGTGAGTGGGTGGGTGAGTAGGTGAGTGAGTGGGTGGTGAGTTTCAGGCCGATGGACTACTGAGTAGGTTAGTGGGTGGGTGAGTAGGTGAGTGAGTGGGTGGTGAGTTCCAGTCTCATGGACTACTGAGTAGGTGAGTGGGTGGGTGAGTAGGTGAGTGAGTGGGTGGTGAGTTTCAGGCTGATGGACTACTGAGTAGGTGAGTGGGTGGGTGAGTAGGTGAGTGAGTGGGTGGTGAGTTTCAGGCTGATGGACTACTGAGTAGGTGAGTGGGTGGTTGAGTAGGTGAGTGAGTGGGTGGTGAGTTTCAGGCTGATGGACTACTGAGTAGGCTAGTGGGCGGGTGAGTAGGTTAGTGGGTGGGTGAGTAGGTGAGTGAGTGGGTGGTGAGTTTCAGACTGATGGACT